GAAGTTCTCCCAGATGAGATCTTCCGTGGATTGAGAAACGTGAAGCAGCTGAAGATGGCCTCCAACCACCTGAAGGCCCTCCCGCCTTTGGGGCCCATGGGGCTGCTCAAGGAGCTGGACCTCAGCAGGAACAAGATCTCCTCCCTGGAGAATTTGGAAGCCGCTTCCCTCCCGTCCCTGACCACGCTCAAGCTTCAAGGGAACCTTCTGGAGACCATCCCCACGGGCCACTTCGACCCCCTGGGGAAGCTCACGGCCCTGCATCTTGGGGACAACCCGTGGAGGTGTGACTGCCGCCTCCTCTATCTTCATCAGTGGATACACAATAACGCCAAAATAATAAAGGACGCCAGGAAGATCATCTGTAGGAGCCCCGAAGACCTGGCTGGGAAAGCAGTAAGCTCACTGTCAGAAGACCAGCTGCTCTGTTTAACAACAACCGCACCCATTGTAACCACCTTCAAAGCCGCCCCTGCTTCTCCATCTGCCACCCCCACCAGGGGAAGCACAGCAGGTGCCTCAGCTCGGTCCACCACGCTGCCAGAGACCAGCCCACCATCTCAGACCTCGGCCCCGGCTCCTCAAACCCATCCTGCTAAGAGCACACAAATCACGAGTACCAGCAGGACGTGGCCCACAACTGCCCCCACGAGCACCCAGCCCCCACCCCCCAGCTCCTCCCTGGCCCCCACCCAGGGTTCCACCTCTGCCATCACAACCCTTCAAGCCACAACTTCCACGAGTTCTCTAACCACAACTGTCTCTGAGATTTCTTCCACAGCCCATGAAATGACGTCCACAGATATTCCAGCCACAACCACAGAAGCCACAACTATCCCTGAATTGCCAGTCACAACTTCCATGAGTTCTCTAACCACAACCAAAGATGCCACAACTGAGATTTCTTCCACAGCCCATGAAATGACGTCCACAGATACTCCAGCCACAACCACAGAAGCCACAACTATCCCTGAATTGCCTTCCACAACCCTTCAAGCCACAACTTCCATGAGTTCTCTAACCACAACCGAAGATGCCACAACTGTCTCTGAGATTTCTTCCACAGCCCATGAAATGACGTCCACAGATATTCCAGCCACAACCACAGAAGCCACAACTATCCCTGAATTGCCAGTCACAACTTCCATGAGTTCTCTAACCACAACCAAAGATGCCACAACTGAAATTTCTTCCACAGCCCATGAAATGACGTCCACAGATACTCCAGCCACAACCACAGAAGCCACAACTATCCCTGAATTGCCTTCCACAACCCTTCAAGCCACAACTTCCATGAGTTCTCTAACCACAACCGAAGATGCCACAACTGTCTCTGAGATTTCTTCCACAACCCATGAAACGATGTCCACAAATACTCCAGCCACAACCACGGAAGCCACACCTGTCCCTGAATTGCCTTCCACAACCCTTCAAGACACAACTTCCATGAGTCCTCTAACCACAACCGAAGATGCCACAACTGAGATTTTTTCCACAGCCCATGAAATGACATCCACAGATACTCAAGCCACAGCCACGGAAGCCACTGCACCCTGGGGCATGCCCACCAAGGCACCCCCCACGGCTCTGACCAACGTCAGCTCAGCAACACTCTATGAACAGTTTACAGTCTCCAAGAGATCCACAGAAAGCCAGGATCCACCCACCCACCCTCCTGTGATCACCACGTCATCCATCTGTAGCTCCAGACCTCCGGCTCCAGGCCTGCTGACCAGGCAAGCCTTGACAGTGCCCAGCACCACAGCCCCCGGGGCGACGCTGGCACAGACACCCGTTGCAGGCTCAGCCCTGGCACTGCCATCTGCAGCAGATCAGCCCTTTTGCCCTTCCTCCTCCCTCCCCCCTTTGCCCCGGAGTGTTGGCAGCCCCCTTTCCCCCAGCCGGCCTGCCCTTCCGCCCCAGCAGCACCAGGCCTGGGGTCTCCTGCTGAGCTCCGACTACCGGTATTGCCCAGTGTTCCTCCTGCTGTATCTCTCCATGCTCTCCGTGAGCATCTTCTGCGCGGCCGTCTTGGGGCGCCTGGCATACGCCCTCCACAAAGCCACGGAGCCGGTCCAGCTGCCTTGCAGGCCAGTAAGGCTGGTGCACGTCAAGGCCAGGCAAGGGAGGAAGTGAAGTCCTGGGGCAGAGAGGGAGCCCTGCCGTCTCTCCCACAGGAGCCCCTGCCCTGTGACACGCCCGCCCGCTGAGACCCAGCAAAGAGTGCCCTGGGCTGGGCTGCTTCTTGCTAACACTGCCACCTCCCGGACCCCAAGGGAGAGGGCAGAGGGGGAGACCGAGTCCACCAGCTGTAGCCCTACCTGGCACAGGGGCTTTGTTATCCTCTCCACCATGTGGTGGGGTTATGATAATGCTGTCAGAGCCCATACCTATACCTATAGGGTCCCTTATCCTTATCCTTTCCCCCCTCCTCCATTTCCTTCTCTCTACGTTTCATCCTGACCCAAATCTCACTCTTTTCTCTTCCTGGGGGGAGGGGGGAAGTGCTGGAGGGTTATTGCCTTGATTTCCTCTATGGCTACACTGCAACACTTTGCTTTCCTGCGTTATTTTCTGTGAACTTTCCCATCCCTTAATGTCAGCTAGCAAAGGGAGGAGAAGAATGGAATGCAACCTCCAAGGTGTGAAGAGCCGCTAAAACATCACAACTGCAACCGGAGACGGCCTGATGTTATCTCCCCTTTCCCAGGAGGAGTGTAACACCTGGGGATTGGGCCATTTGAACTGACCGGATGAACAATGGGGTGGGGTTTTGCTTGGGACACTTTTACCTATTGATCTGAGCGGGAAATCCTCAGATCCTGTCTAGTATGCCTGCTATCAGCTTCTCCTAATAAAAGATCCCTTTGGAGGAAACTGCTTCCATGAGATCTACTTTTTTGGGATGAGATTTTGACGTGGGCCCTGACATATGCACTTGGGGTGCTAAAAGATCTCCCATACCACAGACAGGTAAGCTCTGAGATGCCCCCCCCCACACACACACAACCTATGAACTGTTGAAAATCATCAGGAAACCTTTACAGCCAGCGGGATTAACCCTGAGTGGCGACAGGAGGAAGAATCAGCCAGAAATGGTGGCCCAGGGAAGCAGACTGCTTCTGTCCACTGGCCTGCCGTATCTCAGAGACTTCCTAGGGAGGGGTAAATAGTAATGAGGTCACACGGGGTGTGTGTGTTATCTTAAAGGGTCCAGCCCCAGGCTGCAGTCCCACTGGGTCTGCCTGTTCCTTTTCAATACAGCCCAGTAGGCCAAAGATAAACAAGGTCTGTTTCCCTTTGGATCAAGGCTCTCAGCCAGCGCCAAAACCTGGTTGGGTGCCCAGGATGTGCTGCAGGCAGGCTAATAAAGATCTTTATCTTTAAAGTGATTTGGCTGTTTAGATCAGCCAAGGTTCTGCCACAGCCCATTGACTGTGGGGATGTGATTGAAGACCACTCAAAAGCTTTGCTTGGTCCAAAATGCACCGGCCTAATTATTGGCCAGCCCAAACATGTGATGCCTGTGCCCTGAGCCCCCACTGGGGTCCAAGGGAGGGAAGTTCCAGGGGCTGGTGGTCACCTGTGTGGGTTGAGATGCAGCCCCTTCAAGGCTATCCTCTCCTTTGGGCTGCATGATTTTATGCTTTCTCTGTGTTGCTATTTTTTTATTTACCTTTGGTGTTTTGTTTCCTGCATTTTATTGCTGGAAACCACTGAGAGTGCAGAAACCTGATAAATAAACAAGCAACTGTATGGGATTAATCCTACCTGGCTGTTTTCCGCTGCTCTTTGGTGGCCGGCAACCATGGGGACAACCCTTAATGGGCTTACTGAATGAATCCATACACTCAGGTTGGCCCAACACACAGAATGCCTAGAACTGTGTGTGGTTCCCACCCTGAAGCTGTTCTGAAAGGCTGAAATTAGAACAGAATAGAGCAGAACAGAACAGAACAGAGCAGAAGAGAACAGAGAGGAGAGAGAACAGAACAGAATAGAATAGGAGAAAGGCTAGACTAGACTAGACTAGATTACACTGGAAGAGAATAGAATAGAGCTGGAAGGGACCTTGGAGGTCTTCTAGTCCAGCCCCCTGCTCAAGCAGGAGAACCTATACCATCTCACACAAGTGACTGTCCAGTCTCTTCTTAAAAACCTCCACTGATAGAGCACCTGCAGCTTCTGGAGGCAAGCTGTTCCACTGGTTAATTGTCTTCACTGTTAGGAACTTTCTCCTTAATTCCAGGTTGCCTCTCTCCTTGGTCAGTTTCCAACCCTTGTTTCTTGTCCTTCCCTCTGGTGCTTTGGAGAATAAAGTGACCCCCTCCTCTTCTTTGTGGCAGCCCCTCAAATACTGGAACGTTGCTATCATGTCTCCCCTATTTCTTCTTTTCTCTAGACTGGCCAAATCTAAGTCCCAAAGCCGTTCTTCGTATGTTTTAGTCTCCAGGCCTTGGATCATCTTAGTTGCTCTTCTCTGCACTCTTTCCAAAGTCTCAACATCTTTTTTGTAGTAAGGTTGCAGTATTCCAGGTGTGGTCTTACTAGGGTTTTAAAGCGGTACTAGCACTTCTCGTGATCTTGATTCTATGCTTAATTCCCACGTCCTCCCCCACCCCCGTCTTCAGCCCGGGAGACGCGAACTGAGCCACGGAAAAGCTTCCCTCCAGCCTTTCCTTCCCTGCCAGCGGAACTCGCGGCTACCCTCCTCGCTGCCAGCCTTGGGCCGCGCGGCAACAGCGCCTCCCTCTGGCTGCTCACTGGAGCGCCCGCCCCGGGCTCGCTTGCTACTCCTCCAGCTGCGGCGGCCTCGCTCAAGGCGGCGTCGGGGCGGACACCCTCCCGGTCTTCAGACGGGGCGCTCGCCTGCCCCGAAGGTGATATGGGGGGGGGGAGCCGCTTTTTCTCCGGACTGGCCTGACCTCGGGAGGCCGAGGGGCCGCCGCCATCCATGGACCGTCTGAGCCGAAACCCGAACCCTTCTCCGCGGAGGCGCGGAGGGCCGGCAGGAGGACACCGGCACCGCACGTCGACCCTTCAGCAAACAGCGGGGGTGTGCCCGGGGGCTGGGGCGCCTTGATCCGTGTCTTTCTCGCCCGTGACCCCCTTGACATACGCGGGCTTCCCGCTCCCGCAATGCTGAGAGCTGGAGTCCGCCTGGCTAGCCCAAAGGGGCCGAGGGTGGCCACGTCGCTTCTCCGCCGAAGGCTCCTCGGGCCAGCTCCTCTTCCAAGCAGCCGGCAGAGGGCGCCAGAGTCCAACTCTGATGGCCGCTCGAGGGCGCGGGTGGGTGGGTGGGTAGGTCGGTTCGATGCCCACCCCCAGCCTGAGGGTGTCGGGAGTCTTTCCCGCCAGGCCGGATGAGGCCTGCTCCCACCCCCGGGCTGGATGCGGCCCTGCCCACGCGCGGAGGTGCTGTTTTCTGCAGAAGGGGGTCCGTGCTAAATCATGGCAGCTTCGGGTAATGCGCACCAGAGGAGGGCAGCGGCGGGGGTCGCTCGGATCCTCGAGAAAAGGAGTAGCCCCCCCTCCGGCCTCCTCTCCCGAAAGCGCTGGTCCCACCTGGGGTTTGGTCTGCCTAGGGCAGGGGTAGGCAACCTTGGCTCTTTTATGACTCGTGGACTTCAACTCCCAGAATTCCTGAGCCAGCACAGCTGGCTCAGGAATTCTGGGAGTTGAAGTCCACGAGTCATAAAAGAGCCAAGGTTGCCTACCCCTGCCCTAGGGTTAATGGGGGTGGGGGTCCTTGGTGCTCTCTGAGCTTGCTTGTGTTCTTGCAGACCTTCCATTACCCCAAAGGGCAAATATTCTCCTTTAGAGTTAATGGGGTCCCTGACTATTGTGGGGAAGCTTGCAAAGCCCCCCTGAACGGGGAGGCGATCGGTCAGCCCGAGGCCCTCTGCACGGTGCCCCTCCTTTCAGGGAAGACCAGCTCTGGGCCCCTCCCCTGCAGACCTGCTGGTGGGATCTGGTCTGGGTCTGTTTGATCTCCATACTGGGTCCCCCTGCCAGCCAGCTGGCCCCAGCCCCAAAAGGGCCCCACCGCTTCACCTCCCGCCTGACTGAGCCCCCAGCTGGTTGCCGCCAGGGCTGCCTGCCTTCCCTGGGCTAAGCCTTAGGCCCTCTGGTGGGGCTGGGAGAAGGGACCCCGGTCCCAGGAGACGCCCCTGAAGGCCAAGCCTGGCATCCTCCAGCTACTACCGTATCTGCTGGGCTTCCCCGGCTCTGCCACTGCCCGTTCCCTCCTCCTGCTTCAGGCCCCAGGAGGCTCTCCAAAGCAGTGGCCACAGAGGAGTCTTTTAAAGGGGGGAGGGGCTCCTAATCTGGAGATCTGCTTCTTTGGAGGTTTCTGAAGAACAAGATTTGGTCTGCTCATCTCAGGCCTGGACTTTGAGTGTTGTTCTTCCTTGTACGTTGAGCATGTTGTGGAAACCCAGATACCGGAATGCTAGAAAAAGGTCCCCGCCTTTTCCAAGACACATTCAGGTCTTTAAAAACAACCTGACGGAGGCCTTAGCCTTACCTGGGCTTTCCCCCCCCCCCCCCCGGNCCCCCCCCGGTGCCTGTGCACCTCCCCACCCCCACGGGCAGCTCTGGGCCATCCCTTCTCCTGCGTCCTTAGGCTTCTCATCAGCCAAGCAGGGAGGGAGCTTCCCTGGGGTGCTGCTTCTGCTCCGGGAGGGGGAGCGCAAAGAGGCAGGCTGGATGCTCCTGGCTGGAGAGACGGGCATCACGGGGGGGGGGGGGGCTCCAGGAGGGCCAGGCTGGCTCTCCCTGCAGAGGAGCGCAGAGAAAGTCTTGAAGGAAATGCCCACTAAGAAAGCCTCAGCTTAGCCCAGAGAGACCGGACAGGGTGAGGAAGGACCTCAAGAGGGCCCCCACCTTGATCCTCTTGGGTATGAGAGGGAGGGAGGGAGAAGCTTGTTAGGATTCTATGGTTACACCTACTTTGTAACAATGCAGCCCAAAGAGTCTCAGAGGTTCTTTCCTGCTCCTGGAAGTGGCCTACCTCACAGGGCAGAGCTGCAGCTGGCGTCCTGTCCTTTGCCCAGAACCTTCCCAGGCAGGTTCAAGTCCTCAGCAATTCTGGC